GCTGTGTCCCATTACAACTTACAGTCCATTTGATGTTAAGTTTCGTTGAAGCAGGAGCTCCAGATCTTGTCTGCCAACTACTTGTTACATAACTCTATGAATATAAAGCTGTGCCGACAATGTTGCTGCTGTTTAACCCCTTACATGTGTGACATGTCATGATTCCCTTTTATTCCAGATGTTTGGTCCTTAAGGGGTTAAACACTAATGTAGAACCAACAAGTAACATCTCACCCAAGGCTAGCTAAGTGCCAACCACCTCCAGTGTCTATGCAGGAAAAGGTTCAGATGTTGGCATAATCTTCAAAAGATGGGAAAAGATACATATTTGTGATGTTACAAAGTGTAAGGTTACACTTTACTGGCTACTGTAAAAGTTGAATGATTAAAAGCAGTCTTTTGTCAGTGACACAAATTATGTAAGGGGCATTAATAAAGGTGTGGCTTTTTTGTTTTTTTTGTTTTCCCGTCCTTTGAATATTAAAGGAACTGTATTCCTAAAACTAGTGGTGTGAGCGCTGAATGCATTAGGTGCTCACCATAGGAAAGACGTAAGAATTTCTCATGTAAAGCGTGAGGATGTCCGGGTCATTTCAGAGTAAAATTCTGTGCAAGCGCCTCTAGTGGCTGTCTGGTAGACCGGCACCAGACATTTTTAAACCTGCAATATAAACATTGCAGGGTTAAGGGAACAGGAGCATTGCACTCAGGACACCTCAATGGGATGAAATGGTCTGGGTGTCTATAGGGACCGATTTATTTTTCATATGTAAATAATATATAAATTCACACTTTTATTCCTTGGACACGACCGTTCCTGGATCTTCATTCTACAATTGCATAACTTTCTATAACGGGTGCTAACTTGAAGGGAAATGTAACAAGTTTTCAGTTGTAGAATAAAGGTGTTGGTTTCTGTATTTGACCTAATTATTCACACAGTGAAAAAAACAATCTTTATTCACCAACAAAACAAACCCTGCCTGGAAGGGACACGTGTTCATAAAAGGTTTTTCATTAATTACAGGAAAAAAATAATGGATTCAATGTAATATAGCCTGGTTTAAAGAAATTAAAACATTCAAGAAATTGTAGTGTATCTAATATAAATATTTTTGTAAGTATAAAATATTTCATGCAAGATCGTTTACCATAAAGTCTTGAGAAAAACTACAGCTCGTGCACTAAAATCAACAAATACAAGTGGATTTAAATATCATGTATTTCCTTCAAAATCCCAGGCTGTGCTAAATCTGATGTGAATTCACCAAAACCAGGAAATTACTAATATACAAAAATAGACAAGGCAATAAATGTTTTTTACTGAAGAAATATGCAATTCTGCAGACACTTAATGGGAAAAGCCCTCTAACGCCACACATAATAGAGAACAAAAATAAACAAAGCCCGAACCTTCACAAATATATCACAAGGGTAACAATCTTAAACTCTTCTATAAAGTGTCCTTGGGTTTGGTGCTTCTCCACAGAATATGACAAGACAGGAGAATCATATTAATATAGTAAGTACAATGCCACAGGTTAGAAAAAAAATAGGAAAAGACACTTACATTTAGTGGAGCTTAGTGTAAGCTCAAAAATCTTTAGTATGTGAATAAAAATGAAAAAAAATGGTCACTCCTTAGTATAGAGCTTCTTGAAAGCTTGAAGGTTCATGCATGCAGTAGTAGAGTATAGTAACGGTGCAGTCATTCCTACGCCACCATACATATGTCAGACACAGAGAAAATGTTCAGTGCTCACTGTATATAGATAATAGTATAAATTCATAAAAATACTAACAGTGTTTGGAGCACTATAGATGCTCAATCAAATCAGCGAGGGTGATACCATCCACACCAAGAGTAATAATTTGTAAAGTTTAAATGTAGAGGTTATTAAAACCCACTGAATAACAGGTATCAGGCAGGATGTTATCTAAAACCAATTTATTCAAGCAATATAAAAAAATACAAATGAATACATTAAATATATTGGCACACGCTTTTCATCACGCAGAGCCTTTTTCAAGTGCATAGTTTACACCAATATACTCCCCTTTTAATAGGTTAGTGAATATTAGAATTTTCTATAAAAAATTACATCACTGTCACGTAGCTATCTTTAAAAAACAATATACAATACTATCGTTATATAGTATAACAGCTTAATGTAATTGTTCTTGTGAGTATAGTCAGTCCTTGCAGGATTTTTAATGTAAGCACTGCCATTTCATAAAAAAGACAGTTTTTACATTACTGCCTAGGAAGATCTCTAATGGCCACTTTTTAGATGGACACTATCGGTGCTTCCTAGGTCAGTGTTGTACAATGTGACCAGGAACTTTCCTCATAGAGATGCATTGATTCAATCAGGAGATGTTGATTGGTGCCGCATGGTGTTTTGCATTGGATTTGCTGAGATCATTTCTCAGCCAAAGGGGTGGAGTAGTGGAGTAGTGGAGCCAACCGCGTTGAGACCAGCGCGGCACAGAAAGAAAGGTGGGAAACAAAATAAAACCACTTTTTAAATGGGAAACAAGGGGGCCAAGAACTTAGACTGTGCTTTTACAACTAAAATCAGGGAGATCAGGCAAAACAGGTGGTTACTGTGTATAGTGCGCTTGCAGAAAAGCTACACACTCTAGTGGGTTTCTCTTTCTCCCAATCAGGGAGATCAGATCCACCATGTTTACAGGGACACATATTTATGAAAACGCATGAAAAGGGTTGCCCTGCATTGTGTATAATGCATATTCTGCATTATTGTCTCATGTCCTCATTGCAGGATTGTACATTGCCTAATTATTTAATCTAATACACCTTTTTCTGAATTCTATGTGATCCCTTTTCATGTGCTGCCCATCAATATATATGAGTGGTA